ATCAATAAGAGATGACCCTTACTGGACCTCTAGGAAGAACAGTTTAGAACTGATAGAGCTATCCAGTATAAATAAAGTTAGTTTAGTTTAGGTTTCCTTTTGTAGTAACACTGGATCAATAAGAGATGATCCTTACCGAACCTCTAGGAAGAACAGTTTGGAACTGATTCTGTAAAGCTATCCAGTATAAATAAAGTTAGTTTAGTTTAGGTTTACATATATAGAGCAATAAGGTAAAAAGTCTACACTGGACCTCTGAGAGAACAGAGAACATATTTGTATTTGTTTATCGTATTGTATTGTATAGATACAATTGTGGGGATGAGAATTGTTACAAAGATTTAGCAAGGTTAAGGTAAGTTCCAGAGACAAAAATATTATGTCATGGGTCCAGTTTCATATCTTGAAAAAAATATTGGTGTAGGTCGGAAAATAATTATTTTTTGCTAATAATTGTTGTGATATTTTTTAATAGAGGATTGAATTACTACACTTGGGAAAATGAAGAAAAGTTGGTTGAAAGAACGGAGGTAAAACATCCCAAGCTATTTTAAATGAAAAAATGGATGAAGTATAATGGATGGTTCTAGCTACTGTATAGACTAAATTCTTATCTATATACAGATAGGTAAGACTGAGAACGACATCCAACACCACAGCGAAAAAGAGCCTCTTAGAATGAGTAAAACTGCAACGATTGCATGGTTGCTAATGCTGTAAAATGAAGAAATATAGCCCTGTGAGGTTCGCAAATTTTATATATAGCCTATAGGCTACATGTACACACGGTAAAAATAAGGTTATTCCCGCGCCTTGATGCAAATACATCCAAAATTAGCGAACTTCACAGGGCTATATTTTCCTCATTTTACAACATTTCGCAACCAAATTTTACTCATTTTAAGATGCTCTTTCCAGCTATGGTAATGGGTTTCGTTCTTCTTGCCAAGATCAAATTTTAGTCTATATAGCTGGAATCATTCAGTCACCTTAATTGCTGCCGTTATGAGGACGAAGAAAACTAAATTGTAAATCATCCGTTTGTGTTCTTCTAGAATAAACACGACAAGTATGGAGATAATCTAAAGTTTAGAAATTTTGCGTTTGATGTTAAAGAATTCATGAGGATTGTTTCCAACATGGTGGAACAAGTGAAGAAAAACATACGAGAATATAAAGCTTGAATGACTTTGTAACTTATAGAGTAGGTAGGCCAGTTTAGTTATTTGAATAAAATTTGTAGGATTTTTTAACTATTAATATTATAAAGTAGAGCATAATGTGCAATTCTGCTTGATATAGGATATAGCCGATCTTAATATGCTTGCTTTAACATACTATGAAATACTGTGAATATCTTGATGATAAG